AGTGAAAAATATCCACGATCAAAGCATATCGGAGACCTCTCATAAGCAAACATGAACTTTTTTGGCTTCTCCAAAGAACACAGCAACTGAAACGCCTTGAGCTAGCTTCCAGGGAAGGTACTTACTCCCTTGTCCCAGCCTTACCTCTAGCCTTAATCAAAACCTGCACTCTAATCGTAACCTTAACGCTAACCCGGAAACTAACCCTACACTCATGCCCAGCACTAACCTAAATCCCTCCATTGGACAGTAACGCAAACTGACCTCTAATGCTGACAGCTGGCGGGGCTCAAGAGTGAATGAGAGGAATGAGTTCCGTTAGCGATCGTTGAGCTTTCATCAACGAGGAGCCTACTTATGTACTGATAAGGAGTCTGGAAAGAAGTTACCGATTAGGCACAGGGGTAAGACAGAAGTATCGCAAAACGTTCACTGTTTGAGCTACATTAGTGAATTTTGAGCTACCTATAGCCCAGGGTGCAAGTAGAATACTCCCTTTAGGCTCACAGGCAGGCGTTAGAGTTCTAGGAGGAAATACCAAAGCACCAATCGCATCCTCAGATGACGCCATAGATGAGAAGATTGAAAGAGGGCTCAATGAATGATGCGCTCGTTGCCGAAAGTTCACCTGATCGCTAAGGGGCCTCATCTGTCTCGCTCTGCCTTGGGTCTCGCCAGCGGACCCGACAACTGTAACAGCTAGTAGGACAATACTGCCGGCAAAAATAAAGGGAGACTGGAATGGCTATTTCTAGTTTATTGGCTTAATATTATTAGCACCACTTGGGTCTGTGTGTGGCTGGCTGACGATGGCTAATAAATCAGAAATAGCCATTCCAGTCCCCCTTGTATCTGCCTAAACTGAGTACTGTAATGTACAACTGCTATATCACCGACATCCAGCTTCACTAGGTGCGGTCTTCAGTCTGTGTCCAAGCTGTTGTTACTGACCACTCCGAAGTCGGAGGTAAATGCTGTCTTGGGGCGTGATCTGCTTCGTGGGACTGGGCCACTGGCTATTCCCCCCCCCTTTACTTTAAAATCCCATTTACCTTGATTTTAACACAGACAAAGGAGCATGTTTACATTCGCCATGCGCAGCGGCAATTTATCATTATTGCGTGACTTATTGTTGTCCCCCCCCTCTCTCTCTCTCTCGCCCTCTCGCTCAACAGGCCAGAAAAGACTCAATTACTGTTGAAAAACATTCGCCTCTTTTCGATGGAGAATACTGAGGAGTACATCCTAGGTGGAATAAATGGGAGAAATGTTGTCCAAAGGCTCGCAGTATGGCTGAGATGCTCTTTAAACTCAACTCTCGACGCGCATCAAAAGACGATGATCGACGAGCGGAGAACCACTGTTTGACGCTGATGAAGCTGGTACCCGGCAAAGAGACAGCCCCCGAGCTAGATCTGTTTACATTCAAACAGGCCGTTTATAGCCTTGCATTTGGACTTAAGAACATTCTTTCAGTGTATGGCCATGATGTGCAAATCGTTCAGAGCCCGCGGCACTTCTGTACGCAATAAAAATGCATTATCCTTTTATGCGAATTACTGGCAGCCCGTAGATCAGCGGTCCTGAACCAATGTGCTGTTTATTACGAAAAGAATTAACCAATCGTCCAATGACAATCAGGTGCTTTGTAGTTAACCAAATCGACGGGATGTACTAAGGTATACACTGTTCATACAATACCGATAAGGATGACTACAGTAGAAGGCTACGACCACGGGCAAACTATGAAGGTGTATTACAAATTCAGATAGTCCTAGGTACAAAGAATCCTTATATACAACACTGAAGTAACAAAAAATCCTAGGATTGTGTAAGATGGGACCGGTAGGTAGGGCATATCAGAGGGAAGAAAAACAGAAAAAATAGAGCGTATAAAAGTAGATAATAATAGGCACAATTATTTAAAAAAAGCCGAACGTGTGGCAACGAATAAACGCGCGGTAATTACAAATAAATTAAAAGTAAGTATAAGCAAACCGAAGGCAAGTGAATAAACCGCCGAGAAGAGCAAATCAGGAGCCAATGGCAAGTACAATCATTAGATAGTACCCAAAAGTCGGCTACAATTAGTTGACAGACGTGGAGGTGAACAGAGGTATCTGTGAGCCTACGCGATCAGTCGATATGCAGACAAAAGATTAAGAAAGTAGCAGCGAAATGTAAGTTATTATGTTAATTTATAAAACAGCGAAGGGAAATTATCTCTTTTTGAAAGGTAAATGAAGATAATGCTAATGAAATATAGAACTTATTAAGTAGTTCGTTACGTATAGTATACTACGATGGTGTTTATATGGAACCCTTTCTGTTCCAACGATCTTATCGTACCCTTAAAGGACTTCACCATGCGGACAGATCAACGTGCGCGATTAAATTGCTGAACATCATAAAGTAAAGTAAGCATCGTCTTCAACAATTGCAAATAAAACTCGAAATAGAAGTATGCTTTGTAGATATATAGTATTAGGCGGACATTACTAGATTCTTTTGAGGATTACCCTAATGCTCCATTAAACCCGGCAAAATTCTTGGAGAATAGAGACTGCTGGGCTTCCCGGCTCTGGTTCTGATGGCACAGTCGCGGACTGTGGGCCGAAGGTAGATCACATATCACATCTGCTCAACGGACACAGAACTTAATTGCATTGAAGGGATGACTAGTACTTAACAAAAGCGAGGCCCAATTTTGGATGTTGGACATGATTTCGTACCCTCATTCAACCATGTCAGGTGGGGTTTATCAGCGATTGCAAAGCTGCTTTCAGACTTATCAAGCAAAGTGATCTTTTTATCTCTGAGAGTTTTTAGTTACGTCCAAAACTGGTAAAAATATATGTTATCGTCGAGACATCAACAAATTGTGTTGATCGAAGATAAAGACAAACCAGAGCAGTCTATCCTAGCTCGGCCAAGTAAAACTTTACTGATTCTGCATCCCACGGATACGTGGCCCACACCTCCCTCCTCTCACCTGCAGAACCTATCGCGGCAGGATTCACATCACTGTAATACCCCCACCTCACCCCCGTTCGATGTAACCCCTGCCCCCAAAGCCTCTAGTGCGACATTCCCAGCCTTCCCTTCTGATTTAGTCTGACGACGGACAAGTGTTACGTGTTCGAAACTTTACGAGCACAACTCGATTTCCCGAAGATCTTCTTTCTCTTCAAAGGCAAATATATTAGTAAAAAGAGGGTTAAGTTGTAATTAAATGGTGCGGGAAAACTTCCGTAGGACATCAAAAAGGACGGGTTTTGACATAATTAACTTTAACATGTCAGATGCGAAGTGAGAATAAGAACAGTGATTGTCCCGACTTTCTGTCTGGTCTTAAAGTGTAGGAACGACAGGATTTCATATCTTCACTTTTCCACTGGCTTAGTAGTTTACTTGCAATTTCTAGCTATTTTGGCTCTGCTAAAAAGTAGGTATCTTATCGCTGTGAGATCAAGACTGGCGCCTTCGGAGAAACATACTTCGACAATAATGGCCAAAAGTTAGGCGGCGAAATTGGATCGGGTGCTATGGATTTTTGCTTAATCATTCCGGCAAAAATGGGTCGCGGGTGAAGGATGTTCTTGTACAACTGTAACTAAACTTCGAATTTTACTTCGCTCAAACTGAAAACCTTAAATTGCCAAGAATTTGAATTCAACCAGGCACTTAAATCTAACAGAACGATTTCAAACAATCAAATACAATTGAATCTATCGAAACTGGCAAATTTCCCGATATATTTTCACTTAATTCTGTTAATTTCGTAATTTTTATAATTAAAGGTAATTATTTAGCAGATTGAAGCTGCCCAGCCCTTGATATGAAAATGACAAGGGTATCTTTCAGACATGCAGTCTATATGGCAAATTAGCTACCTTAAGGACAAGAGACAAACGAGAAATAAATGATGATGTACAAATGAGTTTGCGGATCGGAACCACTTGTTGGTGTTACTGAAAATGTTCCCTCTCTACGTAGGTCACCTCGGATTAAATCCGTGTCCGAGCGTGAGCATGATCATAGCATGCTAGTTCCGAACCAATGGTGGCCACTATTTGGCAGAGGCTTCCTGATAGAAGAGCTTGACAGTTCATTCTACGACTTAGCGTCTGGCCTGTCTGTTAGCTTTTCACGTTCTGCCAGGATGTATGCAGTCAAAAATACAGGTGAATTCAGAAAAGCAGTCTAAGTTTGCAAGGTTGGGTGCAGTTTTAAGTGAAACGGTTTTTGTTGGACCGGTGTACGTGAACTGAGCTACATTTTCAGTTCCTTAAACAGTACAAGATAGGCATCGCTTAATCATGCTTGAAAAACTGTCCCCTCGAAACTTTTGGAAACTTACGCTGCAGCCTAGCTCCTAGCTGTGGCACCTAATCCAACTAACTTGACAGAAAGTGTCTTATGTATACGGTATTACTATTATCATTATTATCAAAAAGTGTCTTTAAAAATAAAGGAGGACACACACAAATCGGCATAGCAGGATTTTTCCCAACTCCCTGATTGCATCAAGACAACAGAGCTGTAGCACGGTGAACTGAACTGTCGATAGCACAGGTCATTAGATTCCCGCTAGCAGAGGACAAGAGAGCCAAGAAGGCGCGGGATTATTCAAGCACTTCGCGGTCAAAAGTCCCAAAAACGGTATGCACGCATTCATTGCCGTAGATGCATAACGCAACCGCTAGTGAAAATACAACAACTATGTTCGACTAAAATTTCTACGCTTTCCGCTCCAAAAAAGAAAGAACAGAAGTGGAATAATAAACCCAGTGTCTTTACATCAACCCTGGCTAGCGAAGGCGATCTTGCAGTTCTGACCGTACCCATATGGGATTGACGTTCAGTACTTTAACTACCAGAGTGAGTTCATAGGGGCGATCAGCTCGCACGCGGAAACACTACGCCCTGCTTTATGGTCTGCAAATCCGTTTCTAGTCCTCAGCCTGGCCGAATTTGTGGCGGTCATCCTACGATTGACCTTGAGGAGAACTAATCGTAGAGGACAACGCATAAATCTATGGCTCAGTAGACCGACCGCTAAGCCGGCGGCCCAATAATTCACCAGTCGAGAAGAGGAAGATTCCATTGCCTGAAGACGAATGTTATTAGTTCGGCGTTTCAGGCTCCCATTGGGTTCTAATATCAGGTCATCGTTCTGCGGTTTGCTGCGTTGCTAGAAGTAAGGCAGGAGTGGTTGGTAGAGTCTCCTGGTCCTTAAAAAAATATGAGTGGCCTCAGGTGGACCGGTCACGGCTACACGAAAATCGTTGCTAAGGGAGACAATCCTATCCGGATGTAAAAATGGAGTCAGTGTACAAAAATACCACTTACGTTACCATCCCTTTTGGTCTGACTGAGAGATGTTGAAACACTCGTTTGCAGTATGTATCCAAAGCGCCGAAACGCTACGATGGGGTGAACCAGTAGCTCCGATAATAACGTTTGAATACTTTATTCGCAGGAGCTAATACCCCAGCGTGTTTCAAAGCATTCAACCTCACAGAAACCGATTACGGAACATCCCAATTCCCACCCGAGCCTCGGACTCGGGAGCTTTTGATCAGAGGTGTAACACTCTAACCATTGAGCCACGAGCTCGCTGTCTTGCCGTTTCAGGTAGGGAGATATTGACACTCGTTGATAAACGTTTACCAACCACTAACGGACTCACTCGTCCTGATCGGTCTTGGGGCTCATTCTCGAGCCCTGTCGGCAGCCGAACAGCGATTACTAATCTACGGAGATAGCATTGCCGGCAAAGACAATATAAACTGGAATGGCCGTTTCTGGCTCATTAACCAAGTTTCATTAACAAGTGTTAGGTTCCTGGGAATTATAAAAATATTATAATCTACCATACTAAAATACTATAGTTACGCATGGTAACCGCTTCGTGTGCTTCGGTGAGAGTTAGGACATGGTTCTTATCAATTTTTGGAGCGTGTATCAAGATGGTTCATCTTTCATCACACATTATAGGCTAACTCATGCCAAACGATCACGTAAAATGTAAAAACTTCAAACCCTGGATAACTTAGGTGACTTACCGGTTGCACTGACTAAAAAGTTTAAGAACTGCAGAGCTTTCAGAGACAAAGAGAGTAAAATATCAATAGCACATGACAGTCCGACCGCTAAATTCGACGATGTTCACAACGTGCTTTAGTAGGCCGAAGGCAAACGCAGTGACGTATGCATGATTTAGTTTCAGGTGATAGTAGACTTGCGATGTATCTACCACACCCTCTCTTCTCTCACAAAGCTACGCATGCATTTTCTAGTATCGCCCTTCCCACAAGTCGTGATCGAACTTCCCTATCAATTTCTAATCTTCTTGAAGATCGGGTCGAACCGCATAATAAGGCTACTACAGGCTGTGGTAATTTGATGATCGTGGGAAGCCACTCATATGTTCTACATATGAAGTTTTCGAATAGCTGAGCAGGAAGATTCTAGTTCATGCGGGTGACAAACATACCGTCGTTTGGGTTTTAGTCCTCCATGCTGATTT